GTATGTGTTGGGGCAGGGGTGGCAGTGCACTCTGTGTATGTGTGTGAGGGGCAGGACACTGTGTGTATGAGGGGCAAGGGTGGCAGGGCACTGTGGGGGAGAGGGCACCGGCAGGGCACTCTTGTATGTGTTGGGGCAGGGGTGGCAGTGCACTCTGGGTATGTGTGTGAGGGGCAGGACACTGTGTGTATGAGGGGCAAGGGTGGCAGGGTACTGTGGGGGAGGGGGCACCGGCAGGGCACTCTTGTATGTGTTGGGGCAGGGGTGGCAGTGCACTCTGTGTGTGTATGTGTGTGTTTGTGAGGGGCAGGACACTGAGTGTGTGTGTGTGTGAGGGGCAGGGGTGGCAGGGCACTGTGGGGGAGGAGGCACCAGCAGGGCACTCTATGTATGTGTTGGGGCAGGGGTGGCAGGACACTGTGTGTATGTGTGAGGGGCAGGGCAGTGTGTGTGTGTGTGTGAACCTCACTGAGGAAACTTAAAGGTCCTGGTTTTCATTACACTAAGGCCACTTTACACCTCTCTCATGTGTAAAGAGGTTTTATGGTGGGTAAATATGTAAGTTATATCCATTCTGAGGCCCCTTTACACTACCAGAGCTGTGTAAATAAACTTAGGCCTGATCTACACCTGAAACCTAGCTATGTCGCTCAGGGGTGTGAAAAATTCACACCCTCAGAGACAGTCCGCTGACCTAAACCCCAGTATAGACACTGGTAAGTCAACAGAAGTATTCTTGCTTGGACCTAGCTACCACCTCTCAAGGTAAAATCCCTTCCATCGCTGTAGCAAGTGTCTACGCTACAGCGGCACAGTTGCCACGCTGCAGCTGTGCCGCTGTAGCGTAAACATATCATTAGTGCAAACTGGTATCAGCCCCTTTGTCAGGGATTGTTCTAAATGTGTTTTCTGGGCCAGTCTTTGTTACACTCCCAAACAGGGACGGTTTAAAACAGGAGTATTTTATTAAACTTTTTTGCCATAATCCAACAAAACCCTCCAACCTAAACCCTGACTAAATCCCCCAATATAAAGGTAAATAAACTAAACTAAGGAAATAACCCATTTTATTTTTTATAAAGAACCACGAATCTAATTCCCTGTAGATCATACTCAAAATGTACCTTTTAGTATGATCAAAACCAGGTTAGTGATGTTGCTGACCATTCTGAGAGCTATTGTGCTTCTAAAATGGGTCACCAACTGCTGGGTGTGACTGTTACATTGAAGAGAGCCTTTTTATGCGACCTTTATGGGGGAGTTGGTACTTGTATAAGCACTGACAGAGTTCTTTAAATATTTACCATTGTATCACCAGAGATTGACAAACAAGCCACAGGACAGAATGACCTGAGCTTTTGAACAACATGCTTTTTTAACCAGTTGCTTCATTATACAACACAGCTTCCAAGTTTCAGCTTCTGGATATTTTTCAATCTGTATTAGTTTTCCAGTCCATAATATCAAACTATGGGCTAGCTCTGGTTCAGATGCATGTATATAAGAACATAAGAATGACCATACTGGGTCAGACCGAAGGTCCATCTAGCCAAGTATCCTGTCTTCTGGCAGTGACCATGCCAGGTGCCCCAAAGGGAATGAACAGAACAGGTAATCATCAAGTGATCCATTCCCTGTTGTCCATTCCCAGCTTCTGGCAAAAAGAGGCTAGGGATACCATCCCTGCCCATCCTGGCTAATAGCCACTGATGGGCCTACCCTCCATGAATTTATCTCGTTCTTTTTTTGAACCCTGTTATAGTCTTGGCCTTCACAACATCCTCTGGCAAATGATTTACATTTAATTAATGTCAATGGGAATTGTGGACACCTACCTAAGGATGGGATTTTTCCCAGTAACAACACTACTCAATTCATAACAAGAGTTCCATAATATATACAGAAACTTCTATGCCATATGGATTTTAATTACTAGAAAAGATTCATATTGGAGCCTATCTGCACTAGAATAAACATGCTTGTACACAACTCTCTGTTATGAATAGGGGATACTGTTATAACAGTTTAAATACAACTTTTTTTTGCCAGTATGGATGGGCAAACAGCTTTAAAAATATTTTATTAAAGTTAATGTTTGAAATCAAATTTACACAAGCGGGAAGGTACTGTACATCTGGGGTCGGGCTTGGGTTATGGGGGATTGCGAGTATCGGTTACAAGGTTCACGAGGTACATATATATCACATAACCAGCATAGATCCAGATTGGGTGTGGGAGTTTTTAAAGCATCAGTGGATAGATAGGCTCGGGTATGCCACCCATGGAATATATTAAGAGTCCAAGTCAATATTGGTGTAGAGAATAAGTACATGGGTGGGGTGCGTCCCTCGGTTCGTCAGGGAAGGAAGTGGGTTATTTATTCAGATCTGATTCAGTCCCGTATTTTCTTGTCCTCACTGGTAAGAAGAAGCCATGTTGTTACTATTGGCCTTAGGCAAAGAGTGGGACTCCATAGTGCTGGGAACTGAACAACATGGGACAGAAGACAGTCCCTGCCCCAGAGAGCTTACAGTCCCCAATGAGCTCTGTAAGGGTAGACTCAATCAAAGAGTTTATTAAAGGATTGGGGTCTAAGTAAGGACAATATGTGACAGGTGAGTATAAGACATAATGGTGGGAGGAGAGAAGCCAGGGCTAACAATGATAGGAACACAAAGTTGTATATATTAGCTAAGTGTAAGCTAGATTTTTAATTTTTTGTATGTAAGTGAACAAGAGGGAGATTAATGAATCACTAAAAAACTATTTGCTTAGTTTTAATAAGGATGCCCTGGAGCATGGTTGAGGATCATGTGCTAGCAGATGTAGTTGGGACCTTAGACAGGACCTTGCTTTAAAATTCCAGATTCTTTTTTAAACTTTTTAAATATACAAACACAAGAGGTAGCATATTACTGGTGTAGCTGATAATTTATGCAGTAGCTATTACATGTTTTTGTGCTGATTATACATATTTATGAAATTAGTTCTTATGTGTTTGAAATTAAGCTGAGCCCCATCCATCACTACTGTTTTTTAAGATTAGCACAGGCATACTACAACTGATGATGCTAATTACAATCATTTGGGCAGTATAATGTTTTACATTTCTTGAATATTAGCAGTGCCTTTTGCAGTTGTCTTAGTCCTGTGTAATTCCCAGAGACAGCTGGCAGAGCACCTGTGTTGATTTTTTAAAGTAACAAATGTTTTATTTTAATTAATAAAATGAAAACAGACTAGATACATTCAGCAAAGTTCTGATTCAGATTCCAGTAGGAGTGTACACTTTCAAAATGATCACACACAATAAAGAAATTACTTTTTCAAAAACTGTACTCGTCTTATGCATTAAAATATTAATACTATAGTATTGTAAGTGCTACCCATTATAAAATAAAACTAGCCATCCAACCATGTCCTTCTGAGGCTGAGGCCCTTTGGCCCTGAGGCACTCAAACTGATGTCTATTTGACAGAAAAGGAAACCATTTTATCCATATAGAAATGTCCAGTAGAGGGCCACCTTCTTTTAAAACACTCCATCAATGTAAGAAATTAAGTAGATTATTAGTGTAGATCTAGGCCAAATTTTATCAAAGCAGGTGCCTAAAATTCGGCACCTAAAATCACAGTTAGGCATGTAAAAGTCAATACTGAGATATTACAGTGATGAGCAATACAAAAAACTTAAGAAACTGTAGACAGACAGATTTTCAGATGTGCTGAGCACCTCAAACAGCATTAGAAGCATTCATTGTTATGATTTGCATAAGCAAGTGTTTTATGACAGTGTTATACATTTTATGCAAGATTTTTCACAACAATCTGAGAATACACATTTATACATGCTGGGCCAAAGTGGCTGGACCATTTACCACACAGAACTTATGTCCACTTACACCCAGGTTGAATTCAACCTATTATAACATATTTAAAAAAATTACATTAAGTCTTTACATTGCATTTATAATACATTTCTATTTACAAGATGGCATTGGTATGAGGAGTGTAGTCACCTTTTACATGTATCAGGGACCACAAGATAAATATTTATAAACATTTATGGTGTTTCCACTTCCGTGTGGCCAAAGTCAGCTGGGAGTCCCTCCTCTGCCAGCGGTAAATTTGGTTTACTAAAATGGTACCCTCCTCAATATTCCCCACAATGAGATACACCATGGGGCGGTAGGTTTGGGTCATCCTCTGAGTACAATTTTCATTCATAAGCAACCACTGTTGTATCATATTCCGAGTATCATAAGGCAAGAGCAAATCCTGGTTGATGAATTCCACCTGGCATTCAATATTATACTCCTGATCACCAGAAACTGTTCTCTTTTTGGACAGCTTTACCTTCACCGCTGGGGGAAAAAAACACATAAGTTGCTTTAACTATTTAAATGTAGCAAGGAATACTGCCTAATGAGCAGTGGAGGGATCCATAGTGTATTCTACAGAATAAGTATTAGGCCATACCTTTGTTTTGGGTCATTGCCATTGATTATGGCAGTATTTTAAGAGGGACATAAATAAGAGAAGTTTTTCAGTGAATCACATAATCAGGAAAATGTAACCCCACAAAGATCACTGTCATATATCTTTAGTGACACTGCATGTGTCCAACTACTAGGGTGACCAGATGTTCCAGCACACTGGTATTCCAGCTTTGTAGGGCAATCCAGTATCCCAGATGGTCTTATTGAAATTGTGACTTTGTCCATTTTTCAGCAGAATCAACCAGCAAAATATCTGGCTACTGCTGCCTGCTCTTTGCTCCACCTTCTTTAGTTCTTCCCTTTCTCAATAAAGCTTCCCATCCAGCTCTTTCCCCACATCCAACTGCATTATTGCATTTCCACACACGCTTCTCCTAAGGCCTGATCCAAAGTCAACTGAAGTCAATACAAGTCTAAGGGTACGTCTACACTTAGCTCCGGGTCCGGCGGCAGGCAATCGATGTTCTGGGATCGATTTCGGAAGTGCTCACAGTCGACGCCAGTACTCCAGCTCGGCGAGAGGAGTACGCGGCATCGACGGGGGAGCCTCCCTGCCGCGTCTGGACCCGCGTTAAGTTCGGACTAAGGTACTTCGAATTCAGCTACGTTATTAACGTAGCTGAATTTGCGTACCTTAGTCCGAAGTGGGGGGTTAGTGTGGACCAGGCCTTAGCATTGACTTCTGGGGGTTCTGGAAGAGGCTTCTAGCTGTAATCTCAAAGTATTGTCAGTGGAACCCCAATGAGGCAGCAGCCAGAACTTTCAACCCTCATCAGGTAAGATTTTTTTTAATGTTACTGTTTACTGAATCTTGCTTTGTGTGGTTAACAGGAATAATGCACATGTACACACTCAGTAAGGAACTTTCCTCTTAATGTCAAACAGCCAAGTGCCTCAGCTTTCTTTTGGTTTTAACTACCAAAAAAAGCCACTTCACTCCTTTGCCACAGATGTTATCCATAAAGTACACTGCAGTAAAGTACAGCAAACTAGACTAGAATAAAAAAGCCACTTGGTTATAAAATAGACAATAAGGCAACCTCATCATTCAAAAGAAATCAGCATAGGACCTATTTGTATATGGTTTATAGGAGAAAAAAGTTCCAGAAAATATTCATTTGGGGCTAAATCCTGACACACACACGCACACCCTGAAATCGGTGACCAAACTCTCATTGACTTTAGTGGGATCAGGATTTAGCACGTGATGTCCCCTCACAAACTACCAATTATATTAGAGATAGTTTTTGAATACATCTGAAGTGACAAAGTATGTCCACTATTCAGGAATCAAAATAATAGTGTCTTTAATCATACATATACTAACAAGAACTTACCAAAGTTGTTGGCACAGAAAACATCTAGTACTCTTTTCTGTGTAAAGAATTCCTCCACTGCTGGGCAGGTCTGGCATATAGGCTTTGGCAATTCTGGTAAGAAATATTAAAGTCTCGTTAAGTTTTGTCCTTTGTCTGAATTTAGTGCCAATGACACTAAGTGCTAGAGTGACAGGCCTGAAGAGCGATGTTCAAGGCCGGCTTCAGGCTGATTCCCCCAATTCCCCCGAATCAGGCCCCGTGCCTAAGAGGGCCCCGCGCCCTAAAGAAGAGCGCCTAACTTTTTAATTTTTACTCACCCGGCGGCGGTCCGGGTCTTCAGCGGCACTTCGGTGGCGGGTCCTTCAGTGCCGCGGAAGACCCAGAGCGAGTGAAGGACCCGCCGCCGCCGGGTAGTCAAGTCGGGCCCCGCACTTCCTAAAGCCGGCCCTGGTGATGTTCTCCACTTAATCACAGAACAGGTGTGACATAGGCAAGCTTCCAGACAGTACTCTGAAAATGGGCCCCCTTCTATGGATGAAAAGGGGTTTCATTTTCCATGCCCATTCAGTCCTTGCTAAGAATGACAAGGGTATCAATTTGTACCATTTATGGTATGTGTATTGGAGCAAATCTATTGGTGATGCTATGCTAAATTCATTAGAAGGAAGATCTTGTGGTTAAGGCATTGGACTAGGGCTCAGGAAATGGTATTGGTTCTGCCACAGGCTTCCTGTCTGAGTTTGGGCAAGTCACTTATGGCCAGATTTCCAAAGGTGACTTTAAGAGGAGCTGCTGGGTGCTAAAATCTGGGCATTAATCTCTCTGTGCCTCAGTTTCCCAGAACTAAAATGGGAATCCTTCCCTACCTCACAGAGCTGTTGTGAGGCAAATTTATTGTGTATATGAAGTACTCAAATACATGGTGATGAGGGCCATAGACACGCCTATCAGTAAATAAATAAAATACATTGACCTCTATTGATACAGTGTTGATTATGCTGCATATATGCATGATTGTATTAGCCTTCCTCCTGCCTTCTGACCATCCTTCCTTGACTTCAGTGGAGTTATACTGATTATACCAATTAAAATCTGGCCCAGTTTACACTGAATGTGTTCAGCACTTCACAGGATGGGGTGCAAAATGGATCTGCATGCATGCACAAACTGAATAAATGTGCACCCATGGAAATGACTATTTACAAGAGACTGTTTTAAAAATTTGTCCCTCAAGTTGTATTTGATTGATTCTGTACACTTGATTTTAAAAGAGCTCACAGCCCTCCCACCCATCTACTCCATCTACCTTTATGAATATGTTTGTATTCTTTGCTAAGAGATGCTAGACACATGTCCTCATCAGCAGGGAAACGATCACAGTCCAAACTGTCAGGCCAAGACAGTCCATGGCAGAGGAGCAGAGGAGCACAGCTGTCACGAACAGCGACACACATACTCCTACAAGGATGGATGAAGCTGTGAAAAAATAAAAATCAGGTCCAATCAGCTAAATTTATTGGAAGTCAGTGACAATAGTGATTATTCCTACAGTAAATTCTGTACAGAGTTGTGCAAGTCTTTCTTACATGTCAGCGTTTAACATCCTCAGTCTTCATCAGTGATGCAATTCTACACAGACAGAGGGTGCTGCTGAAGGTTCTGTATCTGGGCCTTGGGCTGGCTTTTAGAATTCATGCATTGTTTAAAGAAAAATGCCTGTATGTTATTTTTGATAGGCACTCAATAAGGGCCTACTTCTATGTCCAATAAGTGATTTCAGCAGTAGTTGGATTGGACCCTAAATTATTAAAATGAATAACACAGCAATCAAACAAAATAAAACCCAACATTGTTTGATCACAGCGCTCTCTCTCTTTTTTTTTTTTTACATCTTGACCAACGTTTAAGTAGAACACTTGTGTGGAATTTTTTCCTGGAACAGGCAGGCAAAAGAAAAGTTAATAAATAATGCTTCAGCAAAAGAGAAACAATTTGGCTGAGAATTATCTTCATTTTAAGATTAACAACATGCATTCAGATTGATATCTATTCAGGTACACAAGGCAGGATTTTAGAACATGACATGGTACTTACGTATCTAAACAGACTGGCGCAAACAGAGAGCACAAGAATGTCCTTGCATGAGGGTGGCAGCCAGTTTCCACAAAGTGGTGCCATTCAGCAGATTTTGGAATAACCTCTGCCATACTTGTGTGTCCCATCAGGTTGGGAAGCCTCATTTCAGAATAACCAATGCTGTGGCACATGCCCATCTCCATAGGTATTGCTACACACTTAGTGGATAATCCAATGTCAAAACCCATTGTCAATCTTAGGAAGCTACTCAGAGCAAAGAGCATCTGTGCTGCAGGAAACATCTTTGTGTGACTCCTGAGTTGCTAAATATGGAGTTGTCAAGTCCCTCGCCAGTGTTCAGACACACAAGCCTTGTGGTTTATATACAAGCTCACTGCCCCATTCGTTTATCTACAGCTTATCAAAACACTCAGGACAAGACCTGGGCTTATTGCCCATTCAAGTGATTGTTGTGATAACCAGGGAGGTGGAGACAATGACTTTCCTTAAATGCAAAAATTTACATATGGGATTTCATGAGTCTGAAAATGTCAGTGCTGCAGCATGCTATGTGGCATATTAAATTGTGACACATGGTAGTTTTGTTATGTGCATGCTAAATCAAATTAAGCAAGCCCCTAGAAAAGTACTTGACAGACAGGCTGTCTCCTGGGGTTGGTGTGTCTCTTTTGTTGTCAGACATTGCTGATTTGGCAGAAAAAAAACAGCCCAGTTTACTTATCAAGTGAAAATGTTTTGCTTTTGGTAATTGCCCTTCAAGAGGCACTTTCTTTATGTGACCAAGAACTACAAAGGAGACAGCTTTCTGTTCGTAAAAGAATATTCTGTCTGGAAACTTCTCTTAAGTCCCAATCCCATGAAGTGTAAAGTGCACCATAACTACTGTTGATTTCAATAGGAGTCAGAGAACCGAGCACTTATGGAATTTACTGTATTGTCTCATTGAGTAGGATATCCAGAGGCAGGGTTATATATTTAGCCATGGAATGTTCATCTTTCATTGACTAGATTAGCAGAAGGTATATTCAAGTTCAGAGGTGGGGGAAGTTTTTCCTAAATGGAATAGTATAGGACCATATTCTGGCTTCAGCTAAAGTCATCTATGGCAACACATACTTACACAAAGCCAGAATATTGCTTATAGTTTGTACAGGACTTTGGGAGTGTTTGAGAGGAAAGATGATACACATTTAAGGCATTCAGATGATTATGTATTTTAATTATTTTACTAATAAATGAATATCATTTCATTAACATTTTATAAATACATGAAAATGTATAACTGCAAATACTACTCCCATCACCCTTTTTTTAGCACAAGTTCTGTCAGTTTTGTAAATTAAAAATAAATAGAATTGCTGACAGTGCAAGTTATTTTCTTACATAGTATTAAAACAAAGGGTACCAGATATCCCAGAAAAGGGAGCAGATTAGTTGAGGCCGTGTAGGATCTGAGTTACAGCTAGCATACATATTGCTATTAGAAAAATTATATCAAAAGACGGTTGAAAATTTTTGAGTTTCAAACTTTAGATAAAAACATTTTCATGGAAATTTTACATTTTTATGAAAACAGATTTTCCCATCAGCTCTATTTATATCATTTTTTTAATCCATTTCTTTATCACTGGATCCATTTCTCCTCAAATAATTCATTTTTTACTCTGAAACACACAATAATTTGGCTGCTTTACAATATGTAAACTTATTTCAAGAAGTTTTTAGATATTAATAAAATGTCAGGTCCTAATCAGAATAAATCTACAAAGTATTTTCGCTGATAAATAGATGTGTATATAATTAAAACAAATAGGCTCATAATAGCTTTTTGAAGGGCTCAGACATGGTAGATATAGTGCTTGATTTAAAATAGACTCTTCCAGAATGTTTTCAGACCTCTAGCAGCAACAGATTTTAGAAAGACAATAACTAGATATCCGGTATCTAGTGTATGTGTAAATGTGTAGGGGTGAAATCCTAGACCCATTGAAATCAATGAGAGAACTCCCACTGACTTCTGTGGGAGACAGGATTTCACCATACATTTTTGTTTTATTGTTTGTAAGCTAGCAGGAAAATTACATGATCTGTTTAAATACCCTGAAAAATGACAACATAAAAGTTCCCAGGGATTAATACTGTTGTTTGGAAAAAACAAATATTCCATGGATTTTTTTCTTTCATTGTTTTCTTTCTTGCTCCTTGTTTCTGAGGACAAATATGGTTTATTTATACCTGTCTCCATTTCCTCAAACTAGAGAAGAGCAATACAAAATAAGACTAATTAGGGCTATGGGGAAACACTTCAAGCCTTTATTCATCAATGTCAAGTTCATCAAGTGCTCCATCTTCAACTCAAATGTAGGAGCCACGTTTAAACTTAGTAAAGATGTAGTTCCAAAGAAACTGGTTTAGTATCATTGACTTCAGTTGGGCCAGGCTTTTACCTGTTGGTTTTAGAGCTACTTTGCAATGACAGTGTGGCACAAAGCAGCCTTAACACAGGAGAATCTGGGCCTGAGTTTCAAACCAATTCAAAGAAACTCTTAAAACTGTCCTCTGACATGGTTTGGCTGCTCAGTGTGCACAGAGCTAAGTCATAGACCTGATCCTGCAAAACCTCTACGTACATAATTTCCAGTTAAATCAATGGGGGAGGCCTTAATGGGGTTACCTTCACCCAACATATATAACCATGGGAAGATAACACCATGTAGGTAAAATCCTCCTCCAAAAAGGCCCTTAGGGCACCACCGCTCCTTCTGATTGCCAAAGTGGGAGGCACACATGAATAAGAAGCAGAGTTGTGATCGAGGCTTCTCTGTGTCCTGGCAATCCCTGGCAGCTGTAACAACTGCTTGGGGTTCTTTACAGGTGATGTAACATATGCTGATGGGCTGGCCCAATGCCCAACTGAAGCAGGACTAGGAGAGCACAAAGGTGGTTTACAGCCCCTTTTGCATCCCTCAGCCTTAGTTGCACTGCGTATTTCGGAGTTGCAGGAGAATGTGTACAACTCCAACAAACCCCCATGTGTCCAAAATACTCAAACAAACCCCAAGGAGTTCTGTATTCATCCATGCTGTGCACAAGCCTTTGCTGAGTAACCTCATAATCCTATTGTTGTAACCCCTTTCCTTCAGCCCTTCAGAATTATTTTGTTGTGTTTTTCATTGTTTTATGTCTGAAATTAGGTTGGAAGCTCTGGCATAGGAACCCTGCCTTCTTATTAGTAATGTGAGCTTCCTAGCACATTTTTGAGTGCTGTAAAACATATATTATTAAAAGGCCTGGGGGCTATTAACTATTTTGAACATAATTCCCACACTCTTTATATAAAAATCCTATTTGATTTCTTCCAGACTATTATATAATGGCAAAACATAGATCTAAGACAAATTATCAGCTTGTTGCAGGCAACATTAATTCTTTCACTCAAATGGTGAGATTGTGCCCATGCATTTCTCAGCCAAGCAAGGGAATAATGGGGTTTAAACACTCAAAGTCTTGCTCAGCCTACATGGGTTCCAGTCTGTAGAATGGAGAACAACTGCTGGTCTCTGGGTTGTGGGCAAGTGGGTGGGGAGAGGGAAGTAGGAGGGGCCCTGGCTCTGAGATGCTGGCCAGATGTGAGTGGGGAAGCAAGTGGAACCCTTTCCAGGGCTGTATTATATAGCAACTACTCCCTTCTCTCCCCTTCAAAGTAAGGAATTGTGAATCTCTGAGCCACAATTTCTTCCTGGGGCTGTTCCTGGATTGGAGCAGTTATGAGCTGCCACTTACTCAGCATTGTATCATAAGACTCACTCTAGTCCCAAATTAGTATTGCAGGGAGTTAAATCAATTTTCATGTTTGCTTACTGTGCTCTGTCTTTAAAAGGATCTGCACTTTCTAACTGTAAAGAAAACTATTGTGTGTGAGTGAATGTGGTGCTTATTGAGGCAGATGGACTGAGCATCCTGGAGACACAAGATCTCAATTTATAACAGGTACAACACAATAGAATGACCACATCAAGAGACTCCATGCTGGCCTCTCAATATGTCTCCACCAGGAATTGGAGGGACAGCTCCTCTTGTCTCAGAGAGATCAGTGCAGCCTGTCAGAAGAGACACATACTGTGTGCTCTCTCATGGAGGCTTTACTTCTGCCCTTTCTTGTTTTGCTGTGTATTCTTATCATTCTGACTAAAAGTATCTGCTCCTTGAGTATGGAAAAAATGAATACATGTATTGTTAGCTATAAAATGTGATGGTTTCAAATACATTTTACTTTCAGCTTTTTAGTTCATGTGACTCAAAAGCCAGTGACCACACAGCCCTACTGAGATCACTAGCTTTCATAAACACATACCCCTTCTGCTTGATATTTGTCACTGTTTCTGGTTTGAGGCAGCAACTGAAACCATTAACTAGTAGGCCATAGTTCCAGTTATTTTTGCTGGCTGCCTTTTGCCTGAAAACAAAGTCCTTAGGATTGGGCTCTTGAGTCTATTGCACCTTGGTAATCATCTAGTTCAAGGGTATATTAGCTGAGTCAAATTGCTCATCCTGTGCTATTCTCAGCAGCATCATTTCCCAAGTAAGCCTTCTCCATTCTGACACTTCAGTTCCACACATTCACAGTTCAGTGTTAAGTACAAGGAAGTTCTTACAGCTATATTTATTTGTAGGCCTCAGTAGTTTGACATCCTCCATGGAGGGAACTCCAATTGACATACAGTCTGCCAGCAGTTGGCTATACTTCATCATTTTTAACAAGACTCTAGCAAGCCAGTCACTAAACAGAGACATGGCTTGCAGAGCACTTCACATCAATTAGTATGTTAACTCCTCCACAGAAGTAGGAGTTACAGCCCTTGGTGTTGTCTTTTCTTTTTGTGGCTACTTAGCTGCTCATCAGCATGGTGTGGAAAAGGTGCAATGTGAATTTGCATGTGGCTTCATAAGGGAATCCTTTTACCATGTGTTTCACCACCCCCATCCCACTTTGATGAGTTGTTTCGCTTCCTTCATCTGGTTGTGCTGCATCTCTTGCTGCTCTTCCAAATCCTTGTGGGACTTCAATGGAAGAGCTGCCTGAGTAAGAACTACATAAAAACAAAGAAAGTAAGAATTGGTGAGGAAACTGAGTGAGGATATTGCAGGCCCTATATGCCTTTTTTGTCATTATTAAACTAAGTTTTGCTAGCTTTGAAATATGTGATGCTGTCCAGTCAAAAAGTAACTGCCGTGTTCTACAGGTATGTTGTTCCTGAACATGTGATTCAAGCTTGATTCTCTTCAAGACTTTTGAAGTAAGTTGTGAGGTCACTCCCTTAGCCACAGGCCATATTTACTGTTCTTGACTATGAGAGACAGTCACCTGTTGATGGACCCTGATAACTTGAATAGTCACCGGAGACTACCCTCCTCCTCTACTCTGTTCCCTTCATTTCCTTTGACTGTTCCCAGGGAGACAGAGATTAATGAGGAGCCATTGATCAGACTCT